GATTATTTACATCTTTGTTCTCCGAGAACTAGGCGTTGCACCTGCTTCGCACAGCTTTTGTTTGGAACATGGAAAAAGGGGATGCAAATAAAAAAATGTGATGTAGAATTTTTTTGTTTGTTTGTTATTTTTACATCGAAGTAATGTGGATTCTAACATCCTAAATGTGAATAAATCTAAGAGCTAGTAATTTTTCGGTTAAAACTTAAGAAAAGTTCTGAAAAAACAAATACCCATAAAGTTTGTTCTATCCGATTTTCATACGTCTGGAAGTTCACTTTAGCTGTATAAAATAATATTAACTGTGTTGGATATTGGACGGAATCCAAAGTTCGTGCGTTATATGCGGAAGATCGGTATAGCGGGGTTTGACTGTATGCTTATCCTGTACCGCCATTCAGTCCTTATTAAGGATTATGAACAGAATTTCTTACGCATCTTTCCAAGCTTATTGGAAGATTTGGATTTGTGCCATAATAGTTTGTACACAATAATACACAATTAAGAATCAAATTGTGTATTGATGTAAAGCTATATTACATATTAAGGAAGAAATCAAATCAAATGAATGTAAGGGACACGTGTAATATTATGATGCTACAAGAGGTATTGTATTGAAGGGAAATGCTTGTTTTGGAATTTAAAAGTCATCCGAGAGAAATTTCCCGAAATGAAAGTTCTTATCGAACCAACATCATTGACTCTTCCCTCTTGATCAAATCATTATTAACTATATAAAATAAGAAACAGGTTGAATATTTTTGAAGGAGGTGATGTAAAGCAGTTTTATGCCAAATATTAAAATAAATATCATTAATACATTAAGCGCAGCTATCACATTCGTTAAAATCGAACTTTTGCGCAAAATAAAATCTGGGATTTTGTTTCTGAAAACTTGTTTATATTTGTAGAATTAAAATAATAATAATAACAGTAATACAAAAAGTAGTAAAACAAATAATAAACATCTCTTCCCCCCCAAAAAAAAAAAAACCTCTTGTTTGTTTTCTTACTCTAACAGTTACCTTTACGTTATTTTATGTGCAATTATTTGTGTTTGTATGCTGTATATTGCAAATAAAACTATATGGGGGTAGATGAATATTCTCTAACAGAATGTTAGAGAGGGTCGACGTAGAAAAAGTTTGGTAACGTGTAAGAGCTTATATATAACATAAGCTTGAATATAAGTGTGTAAGAGTATTGAATCTAATTTAGCAAGAAATAGAGACAGGGGGAATTGGATTACTATTAATTTGTAGAGACATTAGGTTAATTGGAAGCCAGCGAGATGAAAAATATGCAACCGCCTTCGCCGGGAATCGAACCACGGACCTCTGGAATACCGGCCCAGCGTGCTACCGTTACATCACGAAGGACGCAAGTTTCCGTTAGAAACGGGATGTTATTGTTCATATTTTAAGGCTTCAAAATTCCGTTTTATTATAATATAACAGAAGCACACAGGGCACGGAAAACTGAATCAAAATGATCATAGGTTTCCAGACTGTAGTTTTTTTTTGGGGGGGATGACCCCCTCCTGTCCTGTCCACAATCGATTGAAAAATATTCCTGATGACTCAGATAATGGAACGTCATCTATTAAAAATTACAGGCAACAGTCTTGCCAGTAAGGCCAGAAGTGTAGTGCAGGTGATGGCATAAAAGTGACGGTGAATCGTTGTCTATAACGATCATTCTCTCTTGTAGAATTCAGGATTATTGTTAAAGTGCTGATACATACCTATTTTGAATATATCAGTAAGTGTGTATAAAAATGTGGAGATATTTTCAACCATTCATAAAAGAATATCGAATTTCTTTCATCAGTTCATTAATAAAAGAATTTCTTCAGAAATAATTAATTAGGTGTTTATATATTCTTATTTTAACAAGAAAATGAATTAAGTCAAACCTAAGAAGTTGAATCATTCCATTAATTCCTTCGTATATTTCGCTGAGAAATGTAGAATTTTTTTTTTTTTTTTTTCCCCTTTCATTGGCGCATCTTCTAATCCTTCTGATGTAAAGAAACCCTTCCACCTTTCACCGTGAGGGAAGGAGAGGTAGCCGAATTCTTCAAGCATCAACTTCTGCCCTGAAGCAAAGGTATGCTGAGCTTCCGTTGGATGATTTGTCTTTGATAAAATGTAATTGTGCATTCTTTGCAAGTGATGCGTAACCCGCTATTATTTTGGGCTGTTGGAACTGCATTTCCTGAATTGTTTCTTTCATTCCCCCTTGCCTCCGTAATTAGAAGAAAGAAAGATAGCGAACTTGAAAGATAAGACATCCAAATATGAAAACATATTTTAAAGTGTTTATTACCAGAATCGACGGCGTGTGTTGCGTACATTTTTATTTTCCATTTTTTAAATCATATATATTAAATTAATAAGTAATTTTGTATGCCTTTGTAATTGGTAATGTGTGACGGTCGAAGGCAAATAGTGTGGTTCTGTTAAGCGTAGCGAAATGAATCAAGGTTGTACACGTGTATGCATATACACATTTTGTATATTTCTGAATTTGATTAAGGAAATTGTTAAATCGGAAGGTTTAAAAACTCTGATTCTTGTAGGAAGAATAAGAAGGCTTAGTATGCTTAACTAAGCATTTATTATGCAAAGAGCGTGACATTATGGCTCCATAAAAATAGCAAGCTGTTACCAATTCTTAAAAGCTGAATTAGAGTTCAAATCCAAGTGCTTCTTTTACACAAATATGGAGAAATACTATGCTTGAAATGTGAACTAAATGAATAAAATATCATTTTGAAATTGTGGATTATTATTTCAAACATTTTACGTACTATTTCTTGCATTTTTTAAAATTTTCATATAATAAGTTAAATATGTCATATTCGTTATAATTGTATTTAATTTCTGAAGAAAATTCTTTTGAGAATAGGGAAAGGTTTCTTCCCTTCTTTCTTTTATATATATTTAAAAAAGTACCATGTAAATGCATTCTTATGCCTTTTTTTAAATAAATACAAAAGAAATAAATGTGTTAAGTTAAAATATACTATATAAGTTATCTGAATTGCTTAAACACTCTAGTAGTTAATTCTGAACAAAAGAAATAAATGTGTTAAGTTAAAATATACTATATAAGTTATCTGAATTGCTTAAACACTCTAGTAGTTAATTCTGAACATGAACTCACCAAAATGACATCACTTTCGTTTTATTTATTTCTTCATTCTTTGAGAAATTTTATGTATCGTTTCTAAAGCAACAGAAGTTAGTTTTCGGCAAAAATTAGCTTTAAATTAATAATCTTGGTGTTGACGTTCTACTTTCGTAAGCAATCATCTAGTAAGTAGCAGTGTAAATGAATGAGATTTATTCTATAAAATATCGTTACAAATTTGGGTATGTTTTCATTAATCCACGTATTTTCCTTTTGTATTATCACGAGATAGGATGCATTCATTTTTAACGATAAAATAATTTGAAATTTTTCTGAACTCTACAAGCACTATGTAGTGATCTGTAATAATTATCATTGATTTAAATAGTTTAAAATAATATTAAAGAAAGCATTTTCTTGCTTATAATGCTGCATTAATATAAATAGAATAACGTGTAATGTATATTTCCATTTATTGTCACTTTACTGTCCATTACTGTCACTTTGCGAAAAAGCGATGTCTGCAAAGTGATTTATTTGGTAAAGCACTAAATGGACATGGTCAGCCATTTCCATTGCCAGTCGAAAGATCATTCTTGTAATTTGAGAGAACAAATATATTATGGTATGATAAACTTGAGTTGCTCTAGCACACTGAAGGTGTTTGTAATTTCAATACATAGAGATGTTTTTTTTACTAAAAAAATAAATAACATAATCGTTCTACAGATTTTTCTATAACTCGCATTACTGAAGTGACCTAGAAGTTTTCTAACGAGGCAGTGAAAGTATTCTCCTCAAGATGAAAAATGTTGTTCATTACCAGCTGTCATTTCTGAGAGTGCCGTAAAGATGCTGTCAACCCTTTCACTGAATGCGTAGCGAAAGCGATTTTTAAAAAGTGACACTTTTCCCGGCGCTTACAATGCATTGTATGTAGTTGAATATAGATAACTCGGAGCGCGAACTTCCGAAGATAGAAGGTAAATAGATAATATGGAAAGGTGAAAAGAGGGGAGGGCGGCAGTTGCTTTTGTGTGTGTGTGTGCGCGTTGTATTGCGTTTTGCGTACAGGTAGAAAACGTCTCTTTTCCCCTCTCCCGATTGGCCAGCACGTTTATGGGTCAGTGGGCCCGCGCTGACATAGACCCACTACCGCACCATGGTTTAGTAGGTCGCGGTGAAAGTGGCTATTCCGTTGCTCACGTGTCCCAGCGACTTTCACTTGCGTTAGAAGCTTTCAGGCTAGTCAGTCGCGTTGTACGCTCGCTCTTCAGGATCTCTTGGCTCACGTGTGGTTTCATTGTTACAAAGGGGAAAAATTCAGAACGAGATTTATCTGTCCGCCATCGATTTCAGTGGAGCGGTGATCTTGTTCTTTGTGTTTTATTTAATTATTATCGTTAGTGATTTTTCCGAAACGGTGCCGTGAATGTGATAAAATAGATCGATTTTTCAAACAAGATGAACATGCATCTTAACAACTTGTTGTGTTTGACTACTTGTGAATTTCGACTCATCTTTTCTGGATTCTGTGCACTTACTGTTAGTGATCTCTCGTGATTTTTTTGGGATTAATTACGTAACTGTGTGATATTTGGTGCTTGATCTCTTTACTTCTTGTACATACGGTATTTATTTATTATATATGTGCGCGTTTCATGCCCCACTCCTGTGAAAATGACTGCGGATTTCCGCCTCAAACCCGCTTGACAGTGAATTTTTATCTGACTTACCAAAAGAACAACAACCACGACATTAAAAAAAAAAAAACAATACTGTGTTCTTTTCTTGATATTCTTGACTCATTCAAAGAAACATGATGATGGCCGCTTCGCATCTAATGGATACATCTTTTTTATTAGCTCCACCTGGTATGCTGACAGTGGCGACCACGCCGAACCAACAACAGCAACAGCCAGGACCACTGGTGGAATACCCACACGACCCCCCGGACACCAAGGAGGGCATTGAGGAACTATGTCCTGTGTGCGGAGATAAGGTGTCCGGGTATCACTATGGTCTGCTTACCTGCGAATCCTGCAAAGGATTCTTCAAGAGAACCGTACAGAATAAAAAAGTATACACTTGCGTTGCTGACCGCAGCTGTCACATAGACAAGAGTCAAAGAAAAAGGTGCCCTTACTGCAGATTTCAGAAGTGTCTTGATGTTGGAATGAAACTAGAAGGTGAGTATTTTATTATTATTATTATTATTATTATTTATTTATTTATTTTTTTTTTTTTTTCTTAAAATCTTGTGTTCTAATATCGTGCAAAGTTCAGTAAAGCGTGGCATTTTAGACTAAAATACCAGACGTAATATTATGTTGTAAAGATCTTTCACTCAGACCTGCAAAGCTTTAAAAACGTAATAATATCACAGGCTAAAATACCAAGTAGACGAAAATGTGTATTGAAGTACTGTGAAAAATTACTTGAGTGAGGAAACGCTTTATTGGCAGTATTGTTTTGTTAAAAGGTCCACGAACCATTTAAAATATAACTTTGGTAGTCATAACTAACTGTCTTCATGTTAACGCGACGGCGAAATGTAGAATTTTCGTGTGTCTGGAAGGGATTTCAGTTTTAAAATTTTGAGATTCGCAAGAAGAGAAGTCTTTTTACAGCAATTTTCATTACAGTATCAGAAAATTTCAACAGCATTTTCGGGATTTTTGAAAAGCGTTAGTAAATGATTTTGTTAAAAAAGTGAAGGACATAAAAGCTACAATACTTCGAAACTTGTTTTGCATAAATTATTTGTATTAAAATGAAAATTAATCTGTTTCTTGGGTTAAGAAATTTGCGCTAGAAAAATTCCAAGACCCTCACTTTTTAAATGTTCTTTTCCCCCAAAAGGGGGCGGCATTTTAATATTATGCCTTATATATATAAAAAATATTTTAATATTAAGACTTGCCCTAAGCACTTAAAAGATCTGTGGTGCCCTCAGCATACATTTATAGGAATGCCCGTTTTCCCCTCCATTCTCTCTCTCGGCCTTTGTTTAGCTTCGCCACGAATTTGATGATTAATAGCGCGAATTTTTTGTGGTGCCCCCTTTCCTTGATACCCTAAGCGCGTTTTTACTTTGCTTAATGCTTAATTCATCAGTAACCCACAAAATTGTCTTATACCGGACTTTAGATTTCTGGTACCCAACTTTAGATTTCTGGTGCCAAACTTTAGATTTCGGGTAGAAAATAAATGTAATTTTATTTTTTTCCTCTTTGCCACAGTATTATTCTTTATGCACATTTGATAAACATTTACTAAGCGAAATTTAAAATGCACTAAAGGATTTAATTTTGTTAGTAAACTTTTTCATTTCATAAAATTAATAAATAAATTAAAATAAAAAAAATCTGGCCGTTTAGAGATCGTGCATGTGGTCCCCGGGCAATTTGACTTTGAGACACCCTCACGTGAGACGTCGTAATCAGAGCTATAGCTAGGGTTTTCAGCGCCCGGAGGCAACTGGAGATTTCGCGCCCGCTCCTGTTTCCCAAGAATGAAAAATTCATTCTAAAATTTCGTAACACCAATTTGACGCCCTTGGGTGCTGCGTCCGGTGACATAAATTCCCCCTTGCTCTGCCATCCTCCAGGAGCTATGCCACATGTCGTAATATGGCTTAGATGCGAATGTAGGCTATGTTGTAATCTAATCTATTCCTTGAACATTATCTGACCTACGTTTTTGTCGGAAAAAAAAAGCCAACGCGCGTAAATATTTATTCTTTGCAGTTGTATTGTAGAGGCAGTATATGTTCCATGAAATAAAACTTCATGTAAATATTAGTACAGCAGGCCGTGATTTTCCTAGTAATAATTGTTTTCAGAGTGCAACCAGCAGTCGCGAATTCATTAGTCCCAATGATATGTCTAAGACAACCGCTTTACGCCCGAACGTAGGTGAGAAAGCCATTATATTGCGTGTTTTCATTAAAAAGAAGAAAATATTTGAATTATTCGCTAGCATTTTTTACAGCTTTCATACTCGTTTTAAGAAACAGTTCATAAAAAAGTATGTTTTTAAAATAAGATTCACTAGAGGGCGCTGCATGTTACACATTTTCAAAAGCATCTTTTTTTCGTTAATAATATTATTCCAAAATCTATCGTTTTCTCTTTTTCAGGGAATAAACTTTAGCTGTAGCTAAAGTCATTTTAATGACTGTTAAAAGTTGTGGACCTCTTTTTCTGTCTCTTTGTTAAAAATTAATTTCATCTTAATTATTGCATTTGGTGATGAAAAATATTTTATTAAAAAGTGAAGTTAATTTTAAATGTACAGAATTGTATTTAATTATGTTGCTCTGTGTAAATATAAATTAAACAGTATTTCAGGTTACGTAAAGCATTGGATGAATACCATATTGACTCTTATCAAAAGAGATATTTGTGGGAATCTGTTTATAGAACTTAAGTTTTGCGTTCCTTTTTTAGCTATTTCAATACCCCCACCCTTCAATACTTCTTCTTCAAAAAAATTTTAATGCCACTAGAGGGCGCTGCTCATCAGTCTTTTGTTATGAGGAATCTAGCACGTTTTACCGTGAATTCAAATAACTGAAGAGAATTTGTTATCGAAATGTATCGAACCCCCCTCCCCCAACTTTAATTTCATTATACTATTATTAATTGTTTTCGATGCGATAATGATTACCAAGCCTTTTGGTGATTTCTTTGTAAAGCTTCACTTTAACCTTTTAAGAATTTTAGGAAGAGATCATTCCATTTCGGCATTAGATTAAAACTCATAGATGAAGTAATTTTTGCACTAGTTTTTTTTTATTTTTAAAGTTTCATAACAACTCAGTTGCTTAATAAAGAACACTAATAACTTTTCTTAGGATTGCTATTTGAAGTTTTAATTGATATCATTATTCGCTGAAAGGAGTAATTATTTAAGAACTTTTGTAGTGGATCTAATATATCGTGTTAATCATCATTTAATATTCCTCTCCTATAAGCATCGTGAAGTGTTCTGTAAGTGAATATATTGCATATAAATAGCACTTGTGTATACAAAGATAAGTTTGTTCTTCTGCGTTTTCGTAATGACGATGTGTGTTTAGTTTTTTGGATCTGATCATCCTAAACTAGACAGATAACCTAATTGTATCAATTTTGAAATATTTTCCATAAATTATGAGAGGAAGCTGTTAATACTGTCATATGAATTCAGTGAAATCTCTCTATAACGTCCATCCATGGCTGTAGACCATTTTGATATCCTGTGGTGGAGGTAGTCACTTTACAGAACATGATTGTCGCTGATGTACGTATTTTAGTATGTTCTCAAAAATACTAATCACTTTCAGAGATAGTCTCTGTAGGGGGTGTCTCTCTACGCTACGAAATCCAGTTCCCACTGTGAGAATCCGCCAATGGAAGTTCGTGTCGTATAACTGAAAGGATGAGTGAGTGCGACAATGATATCGAAAAATGCAAAATGGTTGGGTGATTTTTTTTAATGGATAAGACTGTTTAGTTATGTCAACTGAGCGTACATGCTTACAGCCCGAAACAACTAGAAAACGGTATTTCAGGGTGTGAAAACATCCGAAATTAAATTGAAATGCGGTAATTTCACGCTAAGGGCAAGAGTTAATTCTGGCGTTTTGTCAGAATAAAAAGCGTAACTGGCGAAAATTGCGGAACATTGATATTTTCTGATAGGTTTTTAGAATAAGTTCAAAATTTAAGATAACATCAGTTACATTGCGATATATTTGTAACCGCATTCCTAATTATCAGTCAGACTTAGCTACAGGATTGCAAATGGAATTTATAGAATTGCAGGCAAACACACAGAGTTAGAAAATAATAATAATAATTAGCAGTTTCTTTTGAATTAACTTCTGTAAATTTGGAGCATACTAAAAGCAAAAATAAGAAAGATTTCACATGAACCTTTCTCATATACACTTTGCGTTACACACACGTTAATCAAACTAGATAAAAAAATGCACTGGTATTTAAAAAGGGAGCACATTAATGACCTTTGTTTATGTCGCCCCCTTCATGAGTTACTATATTTTAGATTAAAAGCGAAATGGGCTTTTTTAGACTCGGTAGTTATATGTATTATATCTTGGTCATGTACAAATATTATATCGGGCATTGCATAGCTTGGCTCATCTTTTTTAGGCCAAGAAACATGCACCACTATTTTTCATGCTGTCCAGAAGCACCTCAAAATTTGAGTGTTATTTTACCAAGATTGGAATCTATGTAAAACCAATTTAAAATAACCAGTTGAAAACTATAATTATTAAACGTTAAAACTGCATGTAAATGCATTTTCATTTACATTAAAACTGTGTGTAAATACATATTTAATTAATTATATTTTAAAGTAATTTTTATGCATTAGTAAACCACAATGTGATGTTTTTCATTATTTTATTGAATTTAGGCCTGATATTCGACCTTTTGTTCGGAAGATTGGGTCATATTTGTCCTGTTCCATAAAAGGGATAATTGAAAAATAGAAGCTGGACATAAATGACACATTGCGATTTGTAAAATCTGGTATAAAATGTATCATCTTCATGTGTGTATTTAATGAACATTCGCAATTTGACATTGCTAGGTCGGCTTAATTACAAAGGAGGGATATTCTTTTTAATGAATAAATAAATTAAATGATTGGATAGTTCATGTAATCATGTGCTCCCCGTCACGTTCTTGACTTGAACATCAGATAGTGGGAAAAGACTCGTTGCTAGCAAAAACTCCCACGCCCGAAAGCCGTCATCACATTTCTCCCGCCGCCATCTCCAGTGTCAGAGCAAGTCGAGCCGCCCAGAACAGCTTTAGCAACAACTGGCGACCTAGTTTTCCTCTTGGATTCATCTGACCCACTGACCCGGTTGGCAAAGAGCGATAGCGATTTCGTGTTTTCCGTTGACTAGGTCAGTGCTAAAGGACCACTCTCACTATTTTATCCACTCTCGTTTTTTTGCCTTCCGAAACTTATTTTAAATTCTCTACCATTACCACTTTCACCCATTTCTTCCTTACCTTGGCAAGCGATCAGAGAAGGAAAGATAAAAGAGGATTTAAATTAGGTATTCTCGGTCAGTTGAGTTTTTATCTGAGCAGAAGAATTTGATTTAAGTGATAGTTGATCGTTTCAGCATGCAGACTGATATAGTGTGGAATTTAACGAAATAGTT